AATCCTCTGAGAATTGTGCCTGTGTATCCTCTGCCTCGTCATCATTTTGTCAAGCTAGCCGGAACAGGGACACATGCCAACTTGTGACCTGCAGCGTCTCCTAAATATTCATGACAAATGTCTTTAGCATCAGGCGGAATCAACTATCCACCAACAGAAGAGGGTTTCTTGGCTTTAGCAACACAGCCAGTAAGAACAATGCTCTCAGTGTAGGCATGTTTGATGAAGTTGTGACCTTCAAAAATTGCTTCTATTCTTCTGTTCATATTTCTGTTTCTTTTGAGAAACTCTGGAGGCTCATCCTCTAATGCAGATAGATGCTCAGTTTGTATGTGGTGAACAGCTTTGAAGGATTCGTGTTGTCACTGGACAGCTGTTTGCCGCATATTCTCCAAACCAGGCTTGCAGAATGTGAAAAACCAGTTTCAATGAACCCGTAAGTGCATTAGGCCTCTTGGTATTTTCTTTAGGTTGATGTCCCAGAGTCTTCTGCTGCCTCAGCATTGGATCTTTCCCCCTTTCCAAAGCAGCTCTCTAGTGATATTTACTCTTTTTTGGCATGGGGTAGACATGGTCTTCCCACACTGTCACTTTTCCCTGCTCTGGTGTCTGGCATCCTCCTTGTGGCTCTCCTAACACTCAGAGGTGACAGGGCCAGCTGTGGCAGAGCCACCAGTGGAGTCAAGTCATGGATTTTTGTGCTGTCTTTGTAGCCTGTGGGTTTGTGAGATGCTGCCTTGCTCCCCTGGCCCCTCTATCCATATGCTCCAGACTTGGTGATTACCCAAGCTGAGGTGCATCCCTGATCACATTGGCAGAGAGGGAAAGCAAACAGACCACTGAACTCTGTGCTAGCCATAGGCAGAGGGCAGGAGAGTCAGGCAGTCCACTTGACTTAATTCCAGCACCTTCAGGCCCAGCCCACTCCACTGTCACACTGTATCCTCCTGGCTCTTCAACTTGGATGCTAGGACCCCTGTGATCTTCCTATTCTGAGCTCACACTCCTCAGGAGGGCCTATGTCTAGCTTGTGCCCTCGCCACAGCTCTCTTATGGATGTCTTCTACCCAGTCACTGTGGCAGAAACAGTGATGTGTGATTAAATTTTTCAGATATGGTAGATCATGCACTGGATTTCTTTTCTAGCCTGCCATGTGGAGGGAGTCACTTTCAGAGTAAAATCTCCTACTGTTGCGAAGTTTACTATACCCAGGAGCTTTTGTTGGGGCTAAAGGGATGGCCCAGTCTGTTGATTCTCCCTGGAGCTGCCAACTCTCTCTGGGCTTTGTGTCTGTGGACACCTGTCCCTTTCCTTGGGAGCCATTGTTCCTTTTCTGAATGTTTTGTTCTTTTTTCTGCATTGTGTTTTATTTCCCCAGCGACTGAGTTTCCAGTTTTCCTGTCAGCTCCCTCCTAATTCCTATGGGTCTACTTCTTCTTTTTCTTTTTCTTATCACCCAGCTTTTGTTTTTCTGGTATCTCAGTGGTAGGTGCTGGAGTGGCTGCATGTATTTTTGGGTTTAGGTAGTGTTTTATGAGTTTTAGTGCATGTCTCTTTACATTTATCCTGGTTGGAGATTTTTGAATGTGTTACATAATGTTTTACCAAAACTGGAAAAATTTAGGTCATTATTTCTTTCCAATATTTTCTCCCCTCTCCTATGGCTACCATGATGTGTATGTTAGTGTTCTTGATGGTAAGCTTTTGAAGGTGTGAGTTTTCTTTATTCTTTTTTTCTTTATTCTTTTTTTCTTTGTCCTGTCCTGAGTGCATAATATCAATTCATTGACCTTAACCTTGCTAATTCTTTCTTCAGCTTGCTGAAATCTGGGGTTTAGCCCCTTTGGTGAATTTTTAATTTAATTTAATTTAATTTATTATTTTTTGTCTTTTTGAGACAAGGTCTCACTATGCAGTTCAGGCTGGCCTTGAATCTACTTTGTAGCCCAGGTTGGTCTTGAACTCACAACGATCCTCCTGTCTCAGCCTCCTGAGTGCTGGGATCACAGACAAATTTTTCATTTTAGTTACTGTAATTTTTAAATCCACATTTTCTATTTCATTCTTTTGCAATAACTTCTGTCACGTTATTGATGTTTTCTTTTGGAGATGTTGTTCTAACAATTTCTGTAGTTTGTAGAAATGGTTTCTTAGACATATGTCCTTTAAATATATTTAAAATAGTACATTTAAGTATTTGTCTAGTAAGTCCAATATCTGATATTCTTCAGGGACAATCTATTGTCTTGTTTCTTTGAATGTTTAATACCTTTTTGTTGAATATTGGATATTTTAAAAATGATGACATGCAAATTTTAGAAATAGAATTCTTCTGCCTGTCCAGAGTTTGACAATGATAATCAGTACTGTTACTGGTTGTTGTAGTTATTTATTTAGCAACTTTTCTGAACCATTCCTGTAAAGTCTGTATTCTTTGCCATGTGCAGCTTCTGTAGTGCATACTTGGGTAGCGTATTTGGTCAGCTATGATTGTACTGGGGAAGCAGCCTTGTGTATGCCATCTCTTGACCCTCTGCTTGACTACAGAAAAATGAGCCCTGGGCCTGGGAAATTTCTTTAGTGGGAGATAAAGAGCCCACACAGCTTGTGCCTTGTGTGGAAATTCTTTCCTTGTTGCAAACTCAATATCTATGCTTTTATTGTGCTTATGCATATGCTTCGGTGGTCCTTAATTTTCAGTTTTTCAGGCTCCATAGCAAATGGGGTGGGACCTCTTTGACACAAGAGAAGTACCTATTAGCCAGTTGCCTTGCATCAGTTCTGGGCTTCTGGGATTCACCAGCTATGAGGAAATAATGCAAATTATTCATGCCTAGACTCTTCTCTGTGTAAGTAAAGCATTGCTCTATTATGTGTATGACTGTGCTGTGCTTTCTTGGAGACCCATGCAAAAATTCAATGAGCAGATGTGTTTCGATTCTGCCCGTAGGAGCAGTAATCAGTACATGATGCTATGCTTTCCCTGGGCGTGATAATGAGTGCATAGTGTAGCCTTTAGCAGTTTGGAGCAGTGAGCAAGGCTGCCAAGGAAAAACACAAGACCACTGTTCTAGGGTGGGACCAGCTCCCCACGGCAAGATAGACTGACTGAAGTGCTGACCACTGTCTGGGTGCACAGGGATAAGTGAGACGTGGTTTAACTCCTATCATGTGTTAAGATTATGGATGATGCATCTCTTTTGAATGGCAACTCCTTGTTTGCACTGGATTCTAGTGGAGACCCAGTGTCTTATGGCTGCAGTGCTGTATGTAATACTATACCTGAACTTCCCCCACTTGGATGCTTTCCCTAGGTAGATTAATGAGTATTACACTGCCCACTCCAGTGCTAGGTGTCCCAACTCTTATGCAATTCAGGTGAAGGCTTTGCATTTTTTATTGGTCTGATATGCCTGATAAGCACATGGTGCTGATTTTCTCTGATATAAGTTAGGTATGTTATATGTCCAGTGCTCTTGATTAGTTTGAAAAGTCTACAGGTGGTAAATTTTTATTAGTAAGATTAATTTACTTTGCAGTTTATGCCTTATGATTGTGTGGTAAAGCTGGGAGTAGTTTTGCTTTTATAAGTTTTGTGTGTCTAAACTCTGGTGGTTATTTAGTTGTACAGACAAGTTAACCAGTCCTTCTGCCTCATTACTTGCACTAAAAATGGTGTGAACTGCTGTTTTATAAAATGGAGTCACTCAGGGCAAAGCCCAGCCTGAAGCCTCCTAGTCTGTCCAGCATGGAGTAGTCCACGGCAGGCACCGCCTGCTCTATAGTGGGATTTTGGTTTTCAGAACTCCCTGGGGCTGGAAGGTGGGAGGCTGGGACAGCGTGAGCTAAAATACCACGAGGCTCTCTGTTCTTGCATCCAGTTTTTCCTAATTCTGCACAGTCTCAACTTCCTCCTTTTTCTCCTTACTTCCTTAAAATCAAGCTTCTTCCTCCAAAATAATATTGAATCAGAAATCCTGGCCTAGCTGCAGCTATTTTGTTCAATAAAGTTGCCGTCATTCTGTTCTGTGTCACTGAACTCACCTAAATCATGTGATTTGTTGTCAAATTGAAACTTCTGTGACTGTGCTACAAACAACTTTGCCACATAAGATGATGCTTGCCACAAGGTCCCATGGTACCATAACCTTCAGCAAAAGCTTGTCTCATTCTTATCGCTTGTGTTTGCCACCTGTAACAAAGACAAGCTCTCCATAAACAACACCTCCGATTTTGGAGATAACTCCTCTGGGTTCCACTAGCATCAATAAACTTTTGTTTTTTCTCTTGAGCTCCTGGCAGCTGCTGATTGACTTTTTCCTGCAGTAATGTGATTCTCACCCAAGGTACTGATATTCATTTAATTTACAAGTCCAATGACCCCTTTTAGGATGACTTTCTGAAGTCCTTTGGGACTTTGGGCCAGAGTAGCCTTCCTTCTACCTTTCCTTTGTGTCATTTCTATTCTTCTTTTCCTTAGAAATAGAAAAAAGGCCAGTATGACCAGATCCAAGGAAGCAGATGATGGGTAATAGATGACCGGTGTGTCCTTAAGCTTCTTGGATGGCTCCCCTCAAGGCCTCCCAGGCACTACTACGACAGTCTGTAGCCTCAGCTGAGGCACACTCTTCCTGTTGGAATCAATTCATCCTCCCACATTGGGTCTCCTTTGGGATTTCCAGCCTGAGAAACAGACAGAGACCTGACCTGCTCCCCATGCACACCCTTCCTGGCACACCTCTGGAATGTGTCTTGGTGGCAGGTTTGTTTGTCATCATCTGTGCCTGAATTATGCCCTCTACCCATTCTGCTGTGTATCCTCCTGAGGAGGGCCAGATTGTTGTTTGAAATCTACACACACTGTAACATCTGTGACCTGTCCAGACCATTTAGATCTGTGAGGGAAGTTTTGAAGCTCTGGTTGGTGGCTCCAGCCACTGAGACCAGGGCTCTTCCCAGCCCATGCACCCACTCATGATGGTGAAGAATGAGACCTTAGTGCAAAGAAGAGCAAGTTTATTTGGTATGGACCATGGGATGCTCTCATGGCCTGAGAAAGGAGGGCAAGCAGGTTACTTGTGAAGAAAGCAGCTTTGTCACTTGCCAGCACATGAGCTGTCCTTCTGGAAGCTGGGCAGGAAGGAGGCACTGAACAGCAACAAATGGTTCTGTGGGACGGAGAGTATAGGAGAGAGACCTGAGGTCATTGACCTGACTGGTGCAGGCTCAACATCAAACCTGCCCTGCAGAGGGAGGAGAGGAGACTGAGGCTGGGGGCTCCTTGTGCCTGTGTTTGAGTGAGTTGTGACTCTACCTGTGTGGACTTGCATGCAGTGTTTGCATGTGTGCGCACACATATATGAGTGTGCTGGTATGAGAATATCTGTAGCATGTATATGTTTGTCTGGCATGAGTGTGCGTGTGAGTGTATGTGTCCATGATCATATATGTTTCTCTTGGTGGTTGTGTTGCAGTGGCTCCTGTGTCTTTCTACTTGTGCCAGCTTTCTGTGAACATCCATATGTGCTATTGTGTGTGTCTATGTTTGTGCCTGTCTCCTTTGAATGTTGCTATAATTTGGATCTTAAATGCTCTCCAAGTGCTGTGTGTTGAAGGCTTACCCAGGTGGTGCTTATGGGGTTGGTGGCACCGCTAAGACATGGAGCCTATTAGGAGTTCTTCAGGTCACTGGAATTGTGGCCTTGAAGGGGATAGCAGGGCCTCAGCCTCTGCTTCTTTGTCTCTTTGCTCTGTGGCTGATGAGGGAGTGGTTTTGCTCTCCATGTGCTCCTACCATGATGTACTACCTCATCAAAAATGTAGGGCCAATCTGTCATGGACTGAACCTCCCAAACTTTGAGCAAAAATAAACCTTTCCTCTCTACCTGGTAATTGCTCTGAAACCCTTGTTGCCTTCTACTGAAGTAACAGTCACCCCCACATCCTGTGGTACAGGGAACAGCACTTACTAGCACAGAAGAGGCAGGTTCCCTTCCTGGGAAGCCTAGACCTTGATGACAAATTGTACCCCATGGATCAGTAATTCTGTAAAATAAAATCACCAGATTGAGGTCAATGATCTGGAGAGGAAGGGGTCCAGGAAGCGCCCACACTCTTGTAGGCACAGGAACAGAGAATGGGAGCACGGAAAACCCAAGAGTGCTGAGGCAGGGGAGGGGCTAGGCCACCTTCTACCACATGGCCCTGCTGTGTCCACCTCAAAATTACATAGATAATTCTGGGGATCAACAAAACTCCAAACAGGGCAAGTTGGGGCCAGAGGGATGTAGTGGTCCCATAGTGCAGAGACACAAAGTCCTTGGGGGAATCACTGCTTCTGCAGAGGGGAGAAGAGGCGTGAAAGCATACTCACCAGCAATGTCATGTACCAGGGTGACATCCAAGTGGCTGAGCACCTCGTTGACCAGAGGGCACACCTACCCAGGGACAGAGTGAGGAGTTAGGCCAAAGGGACCCATAGGGAAGGGCAGCACCCCTAGGGTAAGTTTTCTGGGGGAATTTTCTCTCAATTTTCTGTGCCTGAATGTTGACTGGATTAATGTCTACACATACACATGAAGCAGAAGAGAAACGGATGGCAGGAGGTGTTGACAAGTGCCCCAAGTGACACAACAAGCCTGGGGTGCCCTCTCTGATGACGTCTGTGAATGGGAGGGATGAGTTTCTGGTTACAGGAGGCACCTGAGCATGGCCTAGAGGTTGCATGTCTGTGACCACTGATGGCTGGGCAGGGAATTCTCAGGGCAGGGTCCTACTCATATCCACTGTGATGTGGGCAGGAACAGGACCTGGCCCCAAGCTGGAGACTCAAGGGATTTGAAGGGAGAGGAAGATGAAGCTTGGACAGGTGGAACAGATGGACATATGGGTGAAGGAAGACTAGCTCTTCCCAAGTCTGTTTTTCAGCCTGAGACACTCTAGGCCCGTGGAGCATAGAATTCCCACTCCTGCCCTCTTACCTTGCCCTGTACCAGCTCAGGGAGCACTTTATTGAGGATATCTGTGATGCCATCTAGAAGGCCTTGAACGGGCAGAGGAGCAACTCTGGAAGAGAAAAGCCATGGGCTGGAGATGTCCTCAGAGGGCCACTGTTCACCCTCAGTCTTGGCAGCAGTAACCAGTACCCAGCCTGTCCACTCACCCCCACGAGTGTGTCCTATCTGCAGGGAGGTAAGCTCCTCAGAGCAGCACACACAGTTCCAGGACAAGCAAGTCTTTGCAGAATCCACCAATGTGTAAACAGGATTTAGCATATAGTTGTTAGGAGGACTTTGAGATGATACACATGCAACATAGTATGTGTGTTCAGTGAATGTTAGCCAAGATCTGAATGACTTGCATAGTGTATATAACTCAGTCTCCCCAGGTAACAGGTAACTGAAATAAGCAACCTAGAATAGGTGAGGGTTAAGCTCAGAAACTTTCCTTTCTTTCTTTCTTTCTTTCTTTCTTTCTTTCTTTCTTTCTTTCTTTCCTTCTTTCTCTCTCTTTCTTCCTTTTTCTCTCACCTTCCTTCCTTTTGTTTTTCTTTTTTAATTTTGTTGTGATATGGTCTTATGGTTTCCCAGGCTGTCCTTGAGCTGGGATCAAGAAATCCTTTTGTCTCAGCCTCATGAGTAATGGTGCTATAGGTGTGCCTTACCATGCCCAGGTTAAAATCATATTTCTTATCTAATCCAACATAAAACAGTCACCTAGGCTTAACAAGGGATTAGTGACTATTTGCCCATATGCTTACTTATCCATCTGTCCATACATCTACCTGTACATCCATCCTTCCTTCTTCCCATTTAACTATCTATCTCTCTATCCCTCCCTCTATCTCTCTCCATCCATCCATCCATCCATCATCCATTCTTCCATCCCTACATCTATCCCTCCACCCTCCCTTCTGTCTTCTTACTCATCCATTCTTCCAATGCTCCATCTTTTCAACCACTCATTCACCATCCTGCCCTGCTGCTTCTGGGCTGAAGAAGGGAGCCCTCTGGTCTCACCCTTTAAGCAGGGAGATGTGCAAGCTGCCAGGGGAGTGGATGCAGTCACCAAGGACCAGGTGGACCCTCCCCTGGTTGTCTCTCACAGCTAAGACTTCTGCAGTGACATTCAGCCTCAGGTTCAGCTCCAGTAGACTTGTGATCATGGGCCTGCAGAGGAGACAGCCCAGCTGCCATGAGGTCCCACCACATTCCAAAGTGGAGGGATTTTTCATTGTCAGGAATACCAGCCTCACGTTATTCATATTACCCACAGTTGTACTCTTTTTCACCTCCCAGCAAGGGATATCTGCTGGGATCATATAGGTCCAGTGAGTTTCCCACATGATCCAAGGTGTTCAGCATAACAGCAAATAAACTATAGTTTCAGGCTCAGATCGGTTACACTCCAACACCTTCTGTATGGCTACCCATAGCCATCAAGGTCTTTCTTCATGATACACCCTTCCATCCTCCTTGGACCTACTCACAATTTCAATTCAAGGTTCAGGCCCAGAGGGATGGTGACATAAAGGCGATGGCCATCAGGGCTCTGCACAAGGCCAAGTTCCAGCAGCTGGGGATTAGTGATCCTTAAGCTATTCAGAGAGCAACATTAGAGGGAGAAACATTAGGTCCTTGAGCTCCAAATCCAAAAACCATCTTTAACCCAAACTTATCCATGTCAGAGAGAGCTTCCCACCTGAGAAGAAGCAGACAAGAGAGGGGTCTTGCAGCCCAGATAGGCTCTGAGCCCCACACTCATCTTTCCCGACCTCTGCCTGGATCAGCTCCTGACATGCACGCTCTTTCTTCATCTCAAGTCTACTCAGTGTTTGGGACGGGGACTACATATGGGTTCTGTTTACATCCTGTGCACCAGCTCTGAGCTTCGCAGAGAAAGTGGCTGGCTATGGGTCGATAGGAAGGTGGATAGATGGATATGTGTGTGGTTGAGAGGAAGAGGAAGTGGTGAGATGAAAGGAGGAATGAATGGATGGATGGATTGGTCAGTGGATGAAAGGATGATAAGTGGACAACTGGAATAAACCTTGCACAGACATTTGTGTGTGTGAACCACTCATCCTGTCATGGCCTTCAATATCAGGTCAATCCTCAGTGTTTCTCATGGGGATGGAAGAGCAGGCATCAGGAGAAAGAAGGCAGAGTGAGAGAACCTTCTATGAGTCAGCCATGGTGCCAGGTGGTTTACATCTTCCTCCATTTTCCCACCAGTCTTTCTCTGTGGCTACTACAGTCTCCATTTTCCAGTTGGAGAACCAAGGCCAAAGCATCTGAGCACCTTTTTATAGGTCATGCAGCAAGCATGGTACATTTATAAATCAAACTCAAGTCTGTGTCTTCAGGTCAGGGAGCAAGCATCGGGTGAGTGGAGATCATGGAAATGGCTTGGATCCAGCCCTAGCAGGACTCCAGGTCTTGCCAGCACACTGGCATCCAGCTTTCCTTTATTGCTTCTTGCTTAGCAGGCTTTCACATATCTCATGGAAGACACCATATGAGATTTTTCTGGCACCGCATTCCTTATAGGCACAGTGATGATATAGTGAGGAGTTAGCTCACCCTCTTCTGCTTACATCAAAGGCCACTTGTGTTCTACATGATCCATAGGTGGAGAGAACAAAATGACTGCAGTGTAGTCACCGGCTTTAGGTTTAGGTAAGTTAGAGTCCTCACTCTGCCTTACTCTGAATGTCTCGGGGGCTCAGTGTCCGTCCGAGAAACTGGAGATAATTAAACTGATATTTAAGGGTTGTCATCAGGCTTATAGATGTTTCTGTAACCCCAAGACATACTTGAGGCTGGAGTCTATTACTGCTAAGGGGTCCAGTGTTCCCTGCTATGCTATTGGCTCCAGGCTCAGCTACCCACCTCTTCTTCAGAACTGCTGCTCGGGGCTGGCACATCTTTGACTGTTGGTGGGGACTAAGGCCCTATTTGAGGGCAACTTACTCGATGATGTTATTCAGGAGAGGGATCCCTGAAGTCAGTGTTCCAAGGAGGCCCCCAATTAGACCACCAGAAGTGCCTCCTCCAGGCTTCAGAATGTTCAAGAGTGGAAGGTTTTCCAGGATGCCCAGCAGACCCCCTGAGAGCAGGCCATTGGTGAGGGCTGCAAAGGATAGAAGGTCTCTGTAGGTCAGATCCTCAGGCCCTCTCCCACCCATCTTTGCCCCTCCTCTTACTGGATGGGTAGACACACACATGTACACATGCGCACATAGGTGAAAGATGCTGTCACAGACTCACTCACCGCCATTCAGGCTTCCCGCAGGATCTTTGGGCTTCAAAGGCACAGCTGGAGTCACAGACAAGGGCAGACCTTGGTCCAACGGTAAGGGTACAACTTGGCCCAGTGGCAATGGCAGGCCACCGAGCTGGGCTGTGGACTGGGCCAGCAGCCCACAGAGGACAATGAGGCCTCCAATTTGAAACATCTCTCTTGGTATCTGTGGACAGAATGACAAATCCAAGGTGGCACAGAGGAATCTATTCATGGCCTGCTCCCCGTCCTGGGAGGGGTTTCTTACTTTTTTCTTCTCTAGAACACTGGGGATCTGGTGATAATAACTGATACCATCAGGAATTTCTCTCTGTCATGCACCAGGGCAGTCCCTTTTCTTGGTACGCAATTTCATCTTCACCACACCCTAAAACACGGGCACTTATCACTGCATCATACAGCTGAGGAATCAGGAACCTAGTGACTGCTGATCATTTCCCTAAGTCTCAAGCACACAGTGGCCAGAGGATTCAAAGATCCGTCTGACCTACAGAGCTGTAGTAGGCAAATGGCCAACAGATTCACTTTCCATCTGGGTTTGCCGGTGCTGGCTTGAGTTCTTGCTCTTTCAACAGAGCAGATGTAAAGGCTCACACATGCCAGTGGCTGAAGACATGAGCTGCTTTGCAACATCCCTGCTCAGTCTCTGTGTTTAGGTAATGAACTGTAGATGCCCCCACAAGCCACACAATGTCAGAGATGTGCAGACGTAGCCATCTCATGTGGACATGGGCTATGGAAATCCTGGGGTCATCCAGACCTCAGTGTACATAAAGAATCAAGAGAACAGAAGGGGAAGTGACTTTCACGAGGTCACATAGCAACCTGATGGCAGTGCCGTGCTTGGAATGTGGTTTCAGAACCCTTCTCTACTCTTTTTAATATTCCTCTCTTCTCCCTCAAGCTACCCTGGATGGATGAATGGGATGTCCTTGAGGTCTGAGTCCTTGTCAGTTGGCGGCTTCGCAGATACCTCTAAATACTTTGCATATCTGTTTGGTAGCCGGCAAAACTGTCCAAAGGCCATATCAGTACCCATGCTTTGGAGATGACTAACTAATTTGGGCAAAATTCCATCAACTGTCACTGAATGTCTGGGCAAACTTTACAAATCCAATGACAGCTAAAGACCCTAGATTTAGAAAAATTGATCAAAATGTGCAAAATTGGATGAGTACTCTTAGGGGGTTTGTGATTAACCAGCAACTTTACCTTAAAATTCTTGCCTTAGAGCTTTTGAGTGCTCATTTCTATACCAGCATTTCTGGTCTCTTAGGAAATCAGAGTGCACGGCCATCTCGATGTCCCTGTCCAGGGCAAGGCCTAGTTCCTTGCAAGGACCTAGATAAGTAGCCCCAAGTGCCATCTGCCCATGCCTGCCCACAGCAAGGAGCCTGGCATCCCTGTGCCCTAGCCAGAAGAGCCACAGAGGGAGAGGTGGGTCTCACCTGGGTTTCGCAGGATCTCAGCCGCTGTCTCGGTCTCCTTGTCTCTCTCTGCTCGTTTCTGCCAGTGAGGAAGCCTCTTTTATAGCACGGGAATCAGGAAATGTGAAATTATTTGATGAATTTCTAGATAATTTGGGAATCGTGCCATCCAGTGGTGTCTTTCAGGGCTGTGCAAAGTAAATAATTGCCAATCACCTTGGCAGGTGAGACCGCTAAGCTATTTGGTCCACAAGTTAAACAGAAAAATTTGAGGTTAGGCTGTTACTCAAGACTTCATGGTTTCATGGTGGGGCTGAGGTGGAGCCCCACACTCCCAGAGGACCAGGAAGATCATGTTTGGGGCACTGAGAGGGGCAGCTATTTGGACCCCAAGAAGGGACTTCAGTCTCATCCCTCGACCCCTTTCCTTCCCCAGACTGGCTCATTTTCTCCAACTGGAGAAATCCTGCTTCCACTGTGTCAATCCTGCATCCCTATCTGGCTTTCCTATTGGGGCTTCTCTCAGTCTCAGAGTGGGGTTTTCCTGTTTCCTGAACCCCTAGTGCATGACAGTCATGTGACAAGAATCCTGGGCCAGGAGGGCTACTGTTCCTCTTCCACGGAGGAGGAACTGAGGCCTCATGGAGACAAGTGACCCAGGGAGGATGTGGGTGAGTTAGAACTGAACTCATTGGAAAATAACGATGATAAAAACAATGCCAAGAGCCAACACCCACTCAGCTCGTGTCACGTGCCAGGTCCTCGCAGCACTGTGTGAGGTGGAAATCACTTTTCATACGGAGCAAAAGGAGCTAGAGTACGAGGTGATGTGTATGGGGCCGCAGAGCTGGTGTGGGCAAGACAGCCGCATCGGGTCCTTTCTCTTAATCGTGGTGCTCAGCTGAGGCCAACACGCCCTCCGGACACCCTTGCCCATTCTGATTTCCCACATCTGTGAAGTTCATCATCACACACTCTCCACTTTTATGTTCTGGAAAAGTCTCTCTGGCTTCCCAGGCCTGAGGGATCCCAGGTACCCTCCCTCCCTTTGCCCATTCTTGTACCCTTTCCCCATGGGAATGATAAGACATTTGTCTTTCCCACTTGTGCTGCTGGGGTCTGCTTTACAGATGGAGAAACTGAGGCATGGAGCAGTCAAGTCCTGAATCTGAGAGAGCAGCTCTTGCCTTGCAGAACCTTCCACCTTAGAAATAAAAATGGAGAGAGAAGGCAGAAACTGCTCTTATTAAGCACTTACTGTGTGTCTGATGCTTTCCATAGGTGACTTTTATCAGGAGTGGTTGATATTCTCCTTCATAAATCATATAAGGAGACCACAGATCAGAGAGGATGACTACTTCCTAAGGACACACAGCAAGTGAGTGTTGGAGCCCACTCAACTACCACCCCATGTCTGCCTAACTCCTTGGGATCAGTGAACTCTTCTGCCTTCCCTCATGCCACACCCTCCCTAGGCCTGCTCTATAGCCTGTAGCTATCCAGGGCCTGGGGCAGTAGCTCTGAACCACTTCTAGAAACTTCTGGATTCTTCTCACAGCTTATGTGTACCAGTCATCCTCCAAGTGCTTCCTCACCCAATTTTTTTTAATCTTCATACAACTCTTGTGGGCCTGGTCAGGCTACTACCACCCTTGTGCGGAAACAGAAGCAGATAAGGCAAAGAACTGAGCCGTGTAAGAAAAAGTTTTTCTCCTCTGCTTTGAAGCCAAGAGGCTTAGTGTTATGGCACAAAGCAGAATGTGTCAGGCACTTGTTCAAATCCTGTGACCTCAGGTAGGTCTCTCCAGTCCCAGAACTTTAGCTACCTCTTCTGTCAGGGTTATGGGGTGCTACTCTGAATCTCTCTTCATAAACCTGGGGCTCACACATTTTCCTAATGTACCTGCCATCCAGTTACCATTCCAAATGCTATTTCACTCAGCAGTGGGAATTTCCTCATCTCTTGAGGTTTCATTTTTGTCTAGGGCTTTTTTTATGCCAAGGTTCCCAAAGGAACCTGCCTTGTCCTTGTTTTTGACTGGAAATACAGTGTGGCATCTGGCCCCAGACTGCTGAGACACTGTCCCTCCCTGCAGCCTGAAAGGCTCCTTCGGGTGTAGCATTTATTCTCCCCACTCAGGCCCTGAATTGTCCTGTGTTCCTCAGATCCTTAGCCTTTGGCCAGACTGTGGGTGGCTGTGCAAGCTAGGCTGCCTGGATCCACCTGGACTCTCTGGTTCACTTCCTGTTCCCTGGGCCAACTGTCCCGGCTCTGGGAGGGGAGGCGGGCACAGACAGCCACCCTCTGTTCTCCATCCTGCAGTCTTCGTGGGGTTTTCAGAACCCCTTAGCCTATGTTGGGATGGCTTGGGGGTGGGAAGGGTGCTGGGCTTTCCAGAAGCACAGTTGTGCTCTCTTCCCTGTCTTGTGGACCCCTTGCTCCGTCAGTCCAATCGGGGGAGGTCTCATCTTGGGGCCCAGCCCTGGATTCTCGGCCTGAGAAGACTGCACTTCTTAATGCCTCCAATGCCTGAATTTCAAAGTTCCAAAACCCAGGGTCTAAGCATATGTGCATATTCATAGAGAGAGAAAAGATGATTTTTCACTGGGTGTACAGTTCTGTGAACTCTAACAGGGGTGTATTTTTATGTAACCACCACGATAGTGAGGGGACAAAGCAGTTCCATCAACCCCAAACAACCCTACTCATGCTGCCCCAGCAACCTCTGTCAGTTCTCCCTGTAGAGTTGTGTTAAAGCCCCGGCCTTTGAAACGTTAATGCTGTTTTTCTGCTGAGGGAATTGCCCCTCCTTGATGGCCTGGGGTCTGCGTGCTGCATACCTGAGCAGGGACAGAACCTAGAGCAGTAGGAAAGAGGGGAAATGACACACTGCTGACATTTCCAGGACCGTTTTCCTTCACAGGTGACATCCATACAGTCCAGATGTGTTTCTCGGAAACTGTCATGGCATCTTTTTTGCCTCTTTGCCAGGTTGTGATTGTGTCTGGGAGCCTTTATGGATGGGGCTTTGTGAATCAAGGGCTCCCTTTAAAATGTTTTTTAAAAATTAACCAGGGGCAGAAAGACAACTATTACCTGTTCTCATTAATTTCAGATGCTAAAAAGTCCATCTCCCAGAAGAACAGTGGAATAGTGGTCCCTAGAGACAAAGATTCCCCCTCCTTCCCTCCCTCCCTTCTTTTCCTTCCTCCCTCCCTCCCTGCATCCCTCCCTCCTTCCCTGTCTCCCTCCTTGCCTGTCTCCCTCTGTCCCTCCTTCCCTTTTTCCCTTCCTTCCTTCCATTGCATCTCTTTGTCAAAGGACTCCAACACATACAAAGTTTATTCTTCAGAACGTGGGAATGGAATACTGTGTCTGCTCTCTGGGAGCAAGGTCAGGTTATGTGGTCAGTTTGAGATTTTCCGATGGGCTCAGACACTCCAGAGGGTTCACAGAGGGCTGGGCACCCTGACTTTGATGAGAAAATCATGTTCTTCCACAGTTTGCTTCGGGCAAGCTTCCTTGCCTTGGAGATTGGTCTTCCCATCTGCATTTAGAGCAGATCCTAGTAACAATGTTTGTTGAGACCCTAGAATTTTATACCATCTGTAACAGTCCTGTGGGGAAACAGAGGCTCAAGGACAGCAGTGACCTCCTCAGGGCTCCCTCAGGTGGGGACAGGTGAAATTAGACTGTCCTTTGGGGCTGCCCAGCTTCAGTGCTCTTCAAGGGCAAGTTTGCTTTTCAGTTTTAAGTTCAGAAAGCACCTGCCTATGTTCTCCGGAGCCTACTCTGGGCTGTGATGTCAAACAGTTCTGAGCTCCAACCTGGCCCATTACTGTCTGTATGACTGGGAAAGACTTTTCTCAAATTTTTGAAAACATTTTTATGACAAGAACATGTAACAGGAGCACTGTCCTCTTGGTGGACTTTTACACACACAGTATAATTCTGTACTCTTTGAGCTCAGTTTCCTCATCTATAATGGGGCTGTGGAAGGGTTAAAATTAGAGGAGACAGATGCATGGCTTCATACCTGACACAGAGTTGGCATCATTGCTGGAAGGGCATGGAAAAAGCATAGGGCATAGGTTGCAGGGCCTGGACAAAGGTTCTGAACATTTGGGGCTCAATTTCTGCTTAAAACACCTCACTGTGGACCCCAGTGTCGACCATCATAAAAGCCCATTGTTCAACAAACTTTTCTGGGAGAAAATATGTTGAATCTACTGCTCTGTGAACCTTAAAATAAGAAAATTTGAGAAGCCCAAGGAGGTGTTCTGAGAAGTCCTGAGCCATCCAGGAGGGGTCAAAGGGGAGGCAGACAAAAGCTGTCTTTGCAAGGACAGGCAATCTCCCAGCCCAGCCCTCCTCCATGTTTGCTTTTTGGCTCAGGAACAGGAAGAACCCCTTGCGCTCCAGCCTGTGAAGGGATCTGGGAACACAGGGAGTTTTGGGTTGCAAATCCCCGCCGAAGCGTTTCGGATTAGGGAGTGTGAACTGAAAGATGGAGACAAGAAGCTCTCTGGCCCTATTCTCATCTCTGAGCTGTTGACACATCCTTGTTTGAACTTGTCAGTTCTGCTGAGCACCTGTTTCGTCATTTCCCCCTTAGTGCCTGGTAGGGGTGGGAAGGACGGAGAAGAGGGGATTCACTGAGGTCAGTGAGCACTCCGTGGGGGCTGAGTCCTGTCATCGTGGCCATTTCCTCGCTGGGTGAGCTTGGGCAAGGGAAATTCTCTGAGCTTCATTGTTCTCATGTTTAAGATGGAATAAAAGATTTGTGTCTCAGAGGGTTGCTGTGAGGCATTCAGTGTAAACTCTGAGCCCCAAACTTGGGCACATGCCAGGGGCTTAATATGTGTCTGCTATTATCACTAACATGTGTGCCATTTTCCCTTGATTTCTCCACACTTGGATGGAGGAGCATGGGAACCAGTATTCCATAACTGATTGGCCAATAGCCAAATAATTAACAATTAATTAAAGGACATTTATGAACATTTCCCATTGACCTCACATATATTACATACTACACATGGTTTTCAAGGTACTCCTTACAAGCATCCTGCTTGTGAAATATTCTTTTATTTTTCAAATTGTTGAAATATACTGTATTATATCTAAAAAAAAGTGCACATACCTAAATAGTTCAATGAGTTCTTGAACATGTCTTCTCATAGTCAAGCCCAGCTTGCTGGAAGCCCCTTCTGGTAGCTAACCCTTGCCCTAACTACCTTGACCTCTAGTTGCATGGATTAGTTTGTTTTGTTTTGTTTTAAATTTTGTACTGGAGATTGAACTCATGGCCTCACCACTGCTAATCAAGTGCTCAACCATTGAGCTACATTCTCAGTCCCCTACTTCTTAATTTAGAGACAATGTCTTGCTAGGTTCCCTATGCTAGCCTCAAACTTGAGATCCTCCTCCCTCAGCCTCTGGAATAACTGGGATTAAAGATGTGAGCCACTATATCTCTTTTGAGCTTCATATCAGTGGGAGATGCAGCGGGTAACATAATGTTTATGAGCTTCACCCATGTGGTTGTGTGAAAGTGGAGGTCATCTTCATTAGTGTGGAGAATACTGGGAGTGATTGTCCCAAAGGATATTAGGGTCTGTTACTCTGAGCCTCCGTGTCTCTTTGCATGTGTGCATGTACATCTGCTAAGCACAACAGCTTGCGTGGAGCTGCAGTGGCCCTAAGAAGCCATGAGTTCAGCTTTAGTCCATGCTGTCAGTTTCAGGGGGTGGAGGTCTGATTTCTCTCACTAGCAGCATGCTAGGGCTCCCGTGGCTCCATACCCTGTAAGATTTTTATTCCCATTGTACAGATGATGAAGACCATGACCTCAAGTGCTTTGTACCAAACATAACTGGTGAGTCCTAAAACTGGGATTTATCCGTTTGTTTAACTCCAAGCTCTTACTGAGCTCACACTGCGTGCTGGCTGTGTGTTGGGGCATAGGAGCTATCAGTCACCCAACTGTGTGGGTCTTCATGAAACTCCTAGTTGGGCTGAATCTAATTTGAACTCAGGTCTGTTTGGCACCCATGCTTTTGGATTTTCACTCTTGTCACCCTGTCTCTCCATCTCCTTAGAGCCCAGCAATGATTTTGGTATATAACAGGTGCTCAATAAATATGGGGTGAATGAATGGGGGAATGGGAAATCTCAGGCCATCTGGCAAAATAGTGAAAGTTTGCACTACACAGGTCCAGAGTGCTTTCTGTGGTATTTCTAGGCAGGTGAGCACCTGAGGTATACTTGTTTTCAGGATGTACGCTTCAGCAGGTCTGACTCCTGCATGTAAACCTCAAGGCCCAGAGTGCAGCCTTCAGAGCTACAGTTTATTGTGGGAGAGGACAGGATGTCTAAAGGGCCTGCGGTTAAGTTTCCAGGGACAGCAGGAGTCCTGTGCTGAGGGAGACTGAGGGTCCCAAGGGGTAGAGTCTCCTTCTGATCAACAGCAGGCAGCAGAAGAGCCTTGAGCTGGGTGAGCGGGTGTTGCCTGGATTCATGGTTCATCGAGTTCATCAGCAGCTGCCTGTTCTGTAAGGAAGAGGGGCAGCAGTCCCAGATGACCTTTCGAACCCTAGGACCACACTGAAGGGAACTCTCCATCCATCCTCCAGAGCTAGTACCAGGAGCATCCATGTCACTCGTTCCAAATGACACTGAGTGACTCAGTTCCTGGCTTCTACTCACAGAACTGTGATCTAGGGAGGGCAGGGACTGGCATGGTCTAACTGTTTAGGGGTGTCTTGTGGTTGGGGTGGGGCTGGAGCTCCCCCCCTCTGGATTGGGAAATGGTAGAAATACTAGAATTTCTTGTGTCCTGATATTTTGGGTGATTTGGCGGGGTACAGCCTGCTTACTTGGGTTCCCTTGTACTGTCCCAGTTCTCTTGGAGGTCCCCTCTAACATTTTCTTGCAGTATAAGCAGACACCCCTAAGCAGGTCTCAAGGGGGGCTCTGGGGTGGGGGTCCCCCTTTGAGCACTTGCCAATCCTGGGGTGGCCTCTAAGGCAGACCAGAAACTCACCCATGAGATCTTTCAACAGTTTCACATCCAGCTGCCTGAGGAGGTCACCGAGGAGAGGACAAACCTGGGGCAGCACCACAGAAGAGAGGGTCAACCTGGGGCCTGGGGGGATCCTGGAGGGCATGAGGCTGGGGGTTTCCAGCAAGAGCCAGGGCGAGAGTGGCTACCTCACCCTGAGCTCCCCACACAGCACCCCCAGGCTTGTCTCCCCAGGTCCTCACCAAACTCTATGAGACAGGCAATGTGATGGCTCTCCTGCTACAGACAGGGAAACTGAGGCTGAAGGGGACCAAGTCCCTTGCCCAAGGACACACTGACCAAATTGAAATTTTTAATTGAGATTTTTCATGTTCTACAGCCCAAGGTTGGAAAATCTCTGCTAAATTGCCCATATATGTGGCCCTCAGGCCCAAGGATTCCCAAAGTACAGATATTTTTCTCAGACTTACCTGATTTTCTACCAGATGTGGGATAATTTTTCTTATGTTCTCTTTGAGCTTGTGGATAAAATGTTTCATCTTGTATGGGACAGACCTAGAAAGAGTGGGAGATGCACAGAGACGTGGGGCCAGTCCCGACTCCGCCGATGCCATGTGGTATGTGTTGAGCAGGATTTCTGGTCTTTTAAGCGTGACCTGGCCCCACATTGAGGTGTCATTGTCAGCAACAGTCAAAGGGGACTCAGAGAGGTGGTGTGACTTGCCCAAGGACAGACAGCAAGGAAGTGCCGATTCTATCAGAGCTGTGCAAAGATGGCACCAGAGTCCCTGGTCTTTCCCTTACACTATCCTCCCCAGAATGTCTGGTATAATTTAGAGTCAGTGAACATCTGAAGAATGAATGAGCAGATGTCCACTGAGATCTTCACTGTCTGGCACTGTGAAATTACAGAGACAAATCTGCACAAATCTTGCGGTCTACTGAGGTCAGCCAGACTATAGACAGAGCTTCATAAAGCTCTCAGTTCTGTCTTGTTCACCTCTGTGTTCATAGCACTAGGCATGACCTACACATCACAGATTCTGGGAAATATGTGAATGATTGAGTGATGAGGGGTCTGCTTTAGAAAAGACAGGAGGGGCATCCCAGGCAGAAGGATCAGCCTGTGCAGGGGCACGGTGGTGGGACACTGCCTTGTGTGTCATGGAGAGGTGTGTCTTTCAGCAACACTGCAGGGTAAAGGACTGCAGGGAGACACTGGGGGACTGGAGTAATGATCTGGAATCTGCTCATCTCCAGGGAATTGGGGAGCACTGGGGGCTTTGGAACAGGAATCCTGAGCACCATCAGATTTCCACATTAGAAGGGAATTTCTGCAGCCTGATAGAAAATGGGGTGTGGGAGGCGAGGTCCCAGTTAGGGAGTCAGAGGAAGAGCCTGGCTTCTGGGAGCATGGCGGAGGCATCACTGCCTTTGGACCCAGGAGGAAGAGTAGGTGTGGGGAAGGGGTGAGGTCTGTGGTAGACTTATCAAGAGGAGGTAGAGAACTGAGGCTGCAGCTGGGGTCTTACTCAGTGAGGACTGTCACATGGACGTCGGACTCCGTGCGACATTGGCCCACCACGAGATCCCTCCGGCCATATTCATCTTTCTCCAGCCAGAACTCTGCAGCAAGGTTCATGCTTGTGTGCAGCATGGTGCTGTTATTGAAGGGCCTGCAGGAGAGAGAGCAGCAGGAGGAAGGACAGAGAAAGAATGGAAAGAGGCAGAAGCAGCCAGCACAAGGTTGGGCTCTCTGTGTCGGCCAAGACACACACTGTGCACTGGCCGGGCCCCTCAGCACCTGAGTGCTCCCAACAAACCTGACAAGCTAAAAGAGGGAGAAAAGTGCTATTAACACTTGTGCTTTTTTTTCAGTGGATCCCAGGGCCTCATGTGCTCTATCACTGAGTTACATCCCAGCTTTAGGATGACTTTTGAAAATCCCTTAAGGAGACCAGTTTAGGAACCTTTAGAAATTTAAAAGTTTTAATCTCTACTTTAAAAATCATTTCCACTTAGCTAAAGCCCCCTTTCCTTGGCATAGTGGATGTTACGGGACAGCCTGGCCAGGAGGGTGATGAGCACAGGGTGAGGATGAATGACAGTGGCTGTCCCTGTTTTCTTTTCTTAGCCTGGGACTTAGGTTTAAGTGAACAGGTGAGCTGCCTGTGCTAATGATTGTCATCTGCATTTCAGCTGAAGAAACCAAGACTCAGAGAGATGAAGTGATTTGCCTGAGATCACACAGAGAGTGAGTTCAGAGGCCCAGATATGAATTCAGGTTGGGGTTTAAAAGATCGGCTTTTTCCAGGCTGCCCAGTTTCCCCCCAGCTCCCAGTGAGGAGGAGCAATGCCTCCCACAGGCAGCTTCTATAAGACTCACAGCGTCAGTTCAAGGTCAAATTCAAGTGAGATATTTGTAGAGAACCACTCCTTATAGAAAGACACCTGGATCCCAGCACAGTCCAGCTGCACGTTGGTGATGTTGATGCTACAAGAGAAAGAGCAGAGGCCCGGCAGGGTGGGGGCATCAGGACGGGCAAGGCCTTGTGCTGCAGAACAAGGCTGGCTGCTCTGCAAAGTATGCCTGGTGATGGGGTTTGGAATCAGAACCAGGTACAAACACCCTGAAGGCCATGGGCAGCATGGGAGCTCGGGGCTGCCTGCTGTCCCAGAGTTCTTCAAACAGTTCCACACAACCCCAGCTAGCTCCAGGCCCCAGTCCTGCCCTCAGACTGAGCCTCTCCTTTCGGTAGCCAGCTCCACCCACTGCCTGGGAGCCAAATCCCGGGAGCTGTCTTTGACTTCTCTCCGTTTCTTGCCCTTACATTGTTCCCATCAGCAAACTATGTGGCTCTGATTGCGAAGTGTGTCCTGAGTTTGGCCATGCTATTGTTCCCACTTGGTTTGGTCACCCGACTGCTCCCTGGAGATGCTGCCATTCCTTTCTGGCCCCCACCTACTGTGCTCTTGTTTTCTCTACAGACTGCTTTCCATGAGCGGGGGGAAAAGTCAATCCACTTCCTTTCCCTTCACCCTTCTCCACTGGTTTCTGGCCACTCTTGGAATCGAATCTCGACTCCCCACTCCCTTTTGCAGCCCCATATCTTTCTGCTCTTCCCCTTGTTCACCCACTCACATGGAGCTTTTCTCCACTTCAAACACTCCCCACCTCAGGGCCTTGCGCCACCCCCAGCCCACTCTCCCTGTGTGGCTCTTGTCACTTGCTTTCTTCATTCAAGTTTCTCAGGGGCCACTATTCCTCTCACTCTCAGCCCTTAACTAGCTCAATTCATCTTCCTATCACACCTTCACCTGAAAGTAGTCATTTACCTTCTGTGGCTTATCTCACTAAATAGGAATCAAGTTGCTCTCAAAATGTAGTAACCACATGTCTTATGCGTAGCTGTCCTCCCAGCTGTGAATATAGCCTTTCCATACCAAGTTCTGGAGTGAAGGGAGGTGATTGTGACCGTGCACATCACAGGAAAGCCCTATTGGTGACTAGTGGTCCTCATCAAACTGGTGAGGAGGGACTTGAGCTAGAAGGAAGAGAGCCTTGGGGCAGAGCAGGTAGAACAGCGGTGTTGCCAGTGAGTAGCCTGAGTCTTGTGGGTGGAGGAACCTGCCTCAGTTGAGGGAGTAAATGTGAGCAGGTCAGGGCTGCTCCTGCAGGTGAATTCTAGCTGCCATGGGTACTGTATCCATATGCACGCCTGAGAAGTTGTATGCGTGGTTCTAAAAGCTCTTAGCATCTCCTGGAGGCAGGGGCAGCTATCATGCCTTCATGCCTGTTTTACTGATGAGGACACAAGGCTTCAGCTCAGTGCACTCATGAGCTTGGTCCACATGGCTGTCGAGCAAGAGAATGCAGGCTCAAATGCCTGACTGTGGTCCTGAACTTGTTTGATACCCAGATGTTTATTGAGGCTGTGCCCTGTGTTCCGATTTTGTAGATGAGTCCAAAACTCATGGTCAGTTTCCCCAAGGTAGTAGCAGAGCTAGGACTTAAGTGTGGACAGGTTTCTTCTGTACCATCACATTAATTACCCTGCTAGGCCACCTCCCCAAATGGCCCCCATTTGTCCTCACCCCACGTCTTTTGCCTTCATTTCTCTCGGTCTCTCTCCCTTCTCTACACGTCTTGCACCTCATCCTCTCAGCTCTGGCCTCTGACCCAGAGCCCTATGAAGAATCCCAGGGCCAGGGATGGGCTCGGGGCCTCACCTGATCTCTTGCTGCTGCCGCAGTTTCATGCCACCAATCAGCCAGCCCACCATCCCGTAGGCCACCTGCCTTGAGTCATTCAGACTGTCCTGGAGGTAGATGCTCTGGATTTGGTCCTCTGCATTGTGCTTCATGAAGCCTTGGGAAATAACTGGAAAGGTACAAGGGGCCAGTGATACTGTACAGTGTTGTGGAAAAGCAGGGATGTGAAGTCGGGAGGCCTGAGGTGCAGCCAGGTGCACCGTCTTCCTGCTGGGAGATCAGCCCCGTCACCACATTCCCCTGCTGAGAGCTACATTCCTCATCTGTAATTCCACTTTGCCAGACTGATGTGTGAAACAAAAACATGCTGTAGAGAGCCTGGCAGACAGCAGCAGTGCAAAAAACTATTCTGAGTGAGTTCCTTCTGTACTCTTTCTCTGAATCTAGAGCCCAGAGCTAATACACAAGCTGTCTCAAGACCGCAATAAATGTTGCTTGAAGACAAAATAGACAAAATAGGTAAATATGGACAGGGTGAGTACAAATCATCTCATGCTTGAATAAAATGCTGGAACCAGGGCAGCTTCTGGCAGAAAAGAGTAAATCCCCCAAAGGAAGGAAATTTTCAAAGTTATAAACATGGTTAAGTCCTGCCTCTCTGGCTTCTAGCCCCTCCTGCCCAAAATGGGGGCCCAGCCCTATTGAACCTCGGAGTTTGCTACAGAGCACATTTATTTCACTGACTTGCCCTGTCTAGCACCAGGTCTCACACTAACAACTCTGGGTAACTGGAGAGCAACAGAAACCAGTGGTGTATCTCCCTTCTCCCAGGGCCTGGCTCCAGTACTCCTTTCAGTACCCCCTTGCTTCTGTCACCTACAAATGAGACAGTGTGTCTATAGTCACAAATTTGGGTTCAGATCCTAGCTCCATTGTCTCCCTGGGTCTTATATAACAGGGGCAATAATAACACCCAGGTCACAGGGTTCTTGTGAGGACTATTGAGACCAATTATTCCATAAATATTTATTGACAATTTAGTTGGTAAGAGACCCTACCTTGGGCACTAAGAACACAAAGTAATTTCCTGTCTAATAGGAGACAAGAATTAAACAAATAGTTTGAAGGACAGAGTAAAACTATAGGGTTGCCTAGACCTCTTAGCAATTCTTAATCATAGAGGAGAGTACCACTTGGGAACTTTTGAGTGCTAGACAGTCACAGTTGTCAATCCAACATCCATCCATCTACCTACCCATCCATCCATCCATCCACCAATCCATCCATCTATCCACTAATCCATCCATCCATTCATCCATCCATTTGCCCATCCACTCACCCTCCTGACCACCATCTATGAACCCAACCTGTTCTCAACTGAATCCTGATTGAATGCAGGTTGTCTCTCTCAAATTTCTGATCCAGATGAAGCTATTGATTTTCTGAACCATCACTGTGTGACTCATCTGTGGAGATTTTCAGATTCAAAGTTGGCATGTAACCTAAGTTGGCTCTACCGAGTCAGGCAGAATATTTTATGTTCTATGTTTGAGGGAAGGGTTTTTTCCTCTTTCTCCTATTGGAAAGATGCAAGAGTGTCTGGAGCTATGATGGTCACTGGTCATTATTTTACTATCATGCTGGGAATAAACCTGAGGACAAAACTGTGATGGTAACAGAGCTCAGAAATGGACAAATTCAGTCTGAGTGGAAGCTTTGAGACACCGGTTGAGCACAACCTGGATCTTCTGTGAGTTTTGGTCTCGTGAAATCATTCTTTTTTAGGTTGATTAAGCCAGGTTGAGTTGGATTTTCAGTTACTTCCAACAAAGTATCCTTACACCTTGAAGGTCATTGAAATGATGAATATATTCACAGTGAAAGAAGTACTTTGCACACAGTTTCCTTCACATCAGCCTCAAGAACAGCTGCATGGGCTAATATTCCTCCAGTACCCATTTTAGGGGTGAGAGTGTGAAGACACCTGGGTTCACAACTGCACACCCATGTGTTTGATACCCTAATTGAAATAGGTACATTTATGGCAAATCATAAAATGCTAAGTTTTAATGAAGAAAAATGGAAAAACATCTCTAATCTAAAAAATTTCTTAAAAATAGAATGATTGAAGATCTCTTTCCATAAACACTTCTCACCTAGATGACTGTATGGGAGAGTTCTGCCAAACTTTTATAAGGAAGAAATGGAAAGAAAATTGAAAAAGAGAAAGATGCCAAATTCACTCTATGGAGCTACTATAACTTGCTTAGCCTTAAAAGGACAGAAAGTTACAAACTACTTTCAGTCCATGAAAAATGTGCTAAAAATCCAAACTAGAGATGGAGAGTAGAAAGAAATTAGATATGGGGCCCCAGAATTCAGAGAGGAGTAATTAGTTCTGGTTTTCTATAGCATAACATGGTAACTATTATTTCAACAATCTGTGATAGACTTCAGAGTAACTAGAAAAGTATGAAAGTTCTCAGGGTGTAGAAATGATTAATATTTGAGGAGGTGGAGGTGCTTATTACCCTGATTCGCTGATTATGCATCTACTAATACAAGTTATCATGTAATAGATTAGAAGAAAAATTGATTAACTTTTAGATGCAGAAAAATACTTGTTGAAAGCTAATAGTGATTTATGATTAAGACAAATTCATGAAACTAAAATTATAAGGAACTGCCTTAATGTAAAACAACCCTCACTGTATTCCAAAACCTACAGAAAATATCCTACTTAGTGGGGAGGTCTAGATACATTTCCATCTTATAGAAGGCCTTGGTTATAATGCAGAATAAAGAGCCACATGATGCTAGTGTGACAGCACATGCCTGGAAGCCCAACACTTTGGAGGCTGAAGTAGGAGGATTGTGAGTTTGAGGTCAGCTTGCCTAAATAGTGAGACATTGTCTCAGAAAAAGAGGAGAATAAGACAAGAACAAGAGTAAAGAAAAGGTAGAGGAAGTGTAATGGATCGTGAGAGAGCAAGAGAGAAAAGGTAAATTTGTCGCTGCTTGTAGATGATATTATTCCCTAGATAAAGGGTCTAACAGAGAAGAAAAGGCAAACTCTTAAAACTGTAAGAGATCATAAGACTTTTGGATATCAGATTAATTTTCAAAAACCAACAGTTTTCCTTTCATCTATACCAACATGACCAATCAGAAAATATACGAAAATTAGGGGCATTTACTGTGGCAAGAAATTATAAATGTTCTAGGAACCAATTTAACAACAATTTAACATCATGCTCAAAACATGATGCTCATAGCGTTATGAGACTTTAAAGTTCTGTTATGGGATATAAGATAAAATCTTAATAGAGTAATAAATCTTTTTAAAAATTTTATTCTATTAGTGCCTGTGTGGAGTATATATTACTTGTGGGAAGTTGGTACATGTGCATAACATGTTAATTCCTTTTTCACTTCCCCACCCACCCAGGAATAAATCTTAATAAATTAAAAGATATAGTAAGTTTATGATTGAGTGGCCAGAACCTCATATTGGAAAAATACGAGTTCTTTCTAAATTAGCAAACAAGTTCAATGGAACCCCAATGAAATTTCCAGCTAAATTTTTAAAAAAGAAACTCAACACATTCTGAAATTCATTTGGAAGGATAAAGGTTTATCACATAAAACAGCTTTACAAAGACATAGTATTTAGAGTATTGTGTTATTAGTGTAAAAACACAGATATAGCCTAGAGAATGCAGAAATGAATCTTCATGCTTGGGAATTTGGCCACTTAATAGAGGGACGGGGAGAACCAACTCATTTTATGGACAGAAGTAAAGCTTTTCACTACATTACAACACACACAAACACACACACACACAAACACACACACACACACACACACACGCACAGATGGCTTCCAGATGGATTAATGTCCCAAATATGAAAGTAAAGCTACAAAGCTACAGGAACAAAACCAAGAAGATTATGTTTGGGATGGAGCAAGGTCTTAAGATTCTCCAAACACCAAATTATAAGATGAGGTATTGATGAGTTTGAAAATACTCCTGTTCAACTAGCAAAGCTAATAAATGACAATGTGGGAAAAATGCAGTCAGTTCTCTGTACCTATAGGTTTCATATCAGCAGACCCAATTCACTGTGGATGGAAAAATACTTGAAAGACTTTTTTGCAGTCATTACTTCCCACACAGAAATTACTCACATAGTGCTTACATTGTTAGGTATTAGAAGTAATTTAGAGATTGTCTAAAGTACACGAGAGGCTGTGCATAGGTCTGTACAAATACTGAGCCATTTTATATAAGGACTTGAGCATCTGCCAGTTTGGGGGTAGGTGGGGTGGTGCTGGATCCATGCCTCATGGATACCCAGGGACTATTGTGTTTACACAGCTTAACTCTGGTAAGGAACTAATGTCAAGAATAAATTAACATCACCTCAAAACCAAAGAGGATAAAAAACCAGGGAAGTAAAGAGAAACAGGGACAAGAGATAAAAAGAGCAAATTCCAAAACATTGAAATAGTTCACAAAATTATGATGAGATGCTCAATATCAGATAAAATCAAGGTAAAACAAGTATCACTCAACTATACCTCAGACTGGCAGAAAATTTAAAAAGGTGATATTATGCACTGTATTGCTCTCCCCATCCCCAAGTGACTGTGTTTGACCCCCCCCCCCCCCAAGGACCTTTAAGGAGTTAAAGAAAAAAAAGTTAAATGAGGTGGCAAGGTTGGCCCTAATCTGATCAGACTGATGTCCTCATAGGAGGGAGAGACCCTGGAGATCTCCTTCTCTGAAAGGCCAAGTGAGGGTTCATGGGGAAGGTGGCTACCTGCAAGTCAGCAAGAGCTGCCTAGCCAGAACCACCCCTGCCAGCACTGAGCTTGGACTTCCAGCCTCCAGAACTTCCAGCCTCCAGAACCACCAGCCTCCAGAACCACCCCTGCCAGCACTGAGCTTGGACTTCCAGCCTCCAGAACTATGAGAAAGTAAATATCTGTTTTTTAAACTGCCCAGTCTTGTGGTAGTGCTGATAGACCAACACACATAGATGCCCTGCAGTGGTGGGCAACACAGGGAGACAGGAATGCCATTTATTACTTGAGCTAGTGCAGACTGGCACAGCCATTCTAGGGAGGATTTGGGCAGTTTCAGTTAAATCAGTCTTACACCTATCACAGGCCCAGCCTTCTGGGTTTCTCCCAGGGCACTTCTGTTTGTTCTAACAGGGGCAGGGCAAGGGTGTTCATCACAGTGTCGGGTACAAAGACTGCAGAGTCAGAGACAACCTAAACGTCCGTCTCTAGGGTAACAGCTACATAAACAGAAGCAGATGACCCTTGTGGATCTGTCTGCACCAGCTGGAGCAAAGTATCAAGAGCAAGTATGGAGTGAGACAGTAAAATCGGAATGAGCTACATATGGCATTACAATTTCATAAATCAAAACATTGCATAGGAAGGCCACAGCCATATTTAAATACACATATTAAACACACTGCAGTGCCTGCTCAGCCCAGAGGACTGTGAATGTGAAAAAGCAAGGGAAAGTAACAAGATGAAACTAAAGAGGGACTTTGCAGTGATTCGTGCTAACGACATGTGCTATGAATTGACATATGATGAACCTAATCTCAATTTTGTGCACTTGAAGTCTAAGAAAAAAGAAGGCAAGGTAGGGGACTGACCCAGGGTCACTCGGTAGTCATGCTGGGCCCACTTTCCCTTCCCCACCCTGTGGCCAGCAGACAGAGCACAGGATGAGCTTACTTCTTGCCAGGCTGGATTTGCTGTCCAGATGGGCGTGGGCTAGGCCAGGATAAGGCTGCTTGTGCAGAGCCAGCAATGTGAGGAGGATGAAGAGCCTCCAGGATGAATGCATCTTGGGTTCTGGCACCTGCTGATGTCAAGAACCGTCAGATGGGCTCTGGGAAGATGGCTGCAAGGTTGGCTGCTTGGATGGATGGCTTCATGGTTTTCTGTAGGAAGATGACACCAGAGTGAGCCCCCAGCATACTGTGGGGAGGTGGGACAGTGGGTTGTGGCAGCTGTCACCAGAGCTTGCTCACATGGCAGGCAGGAAGAGACCTGGGTGGGAGCTGGGGCTTGTGGGGATTGGAGGGAGGCCTGGTTGCTTGGAGACACTCACCAGGGCCCACTGTTGGGTCATCCAACAGGGATCCTCTCTGAGACCTGGCTCAGGCTGTATGCTGGTGACTCTTCGGTGAATGAGCGAGTGAGGATGACTGATCCTACACTATCCAGAGCTTTCTTCAGGGAAAGACCAAATTCAATCACAGCTCCCATGCTTGCTTACCATAAATTAAGACAATGAATGTTTCTGAGCGACTAAATAACTGAATAGGGCTGGATGGGCTCTAGCTTTCATTAAAATTATAAGTTTCTTAGGGGCACAAGAGGTGTTTAATTGATCTTTGTGTCTACAGAGCTGTCCACGTCTATCACATGGCAGGTGCTAATGAATGTGTGTGAAATGATATAAACAAACAGTGAATAATTGGATGTTGGATGGATGGATGGATGGATGGATGGATAATCTCATCTTTCTGGATAAAATTTACAGGAAATAACACATAGCCTCAAAGCCAAAGCAGCAAGTTTATCTTGGAGACCTGAGGTTGGCGAGGGGAGGTGGTCAGAGAGAATTGAGGTAAAATCTGCTGGTCTCATCATCTCAAGAGATGGCTCCACAATTCATTCTATGGTTCCAGTCCCAACCCTTGGAGTTGCCCATGACTCCTCTCTTCCCTCCTCCTACCAACCATCTGTCAAGAGTTTCTGTCCACACTTCTGGAGTCTGACCATGTCTAATGACTCCTCCTCAGCCACCACTACAGTAGCCTGAATTATTGTGAAGGGTTCTAAGAAGAATCTCAGCATCTCAGGCCACCTACTGGTCCTTTTCTGCACAGCAGCCTGAGAAAGCATTTGAAGATGCTGCTCAGACCTTGCTACTCTTCTGCTCAGAGCTCTCCACAGTTTCCTGTTGCACACAGAGCAAAAAAATCCATGCACAACCCCAGGGTCCAGTAGGGACCTACGCCTTCTGAGATCTTGCCTCTTGCCCTCGCTCCCCATTGCCCACTGACTGCACTGCAGCCACACAGGCTTGGTCCCAAAACTATGGTGCTGTGAGTGCTGAAACGAAGGCTACTGTCACTGGGCCTGTGTTCTCCTTGTGAGGTCCCAGGGAATGTGCAGGTCCCACTCAGCGAAGGCGTGTCAGTGAACTTTGCAAATGTCAGTGCGGCGCTGAGCCCTGCCCTGTACTTGGCAATCCAACCCTGTGTGTAAGAGATCGTGGTGAGAGCTTCGTTCAGGGTGTTGCCTTTCTGTATGTGAGGTCCTATCTCAGAGGTCACACTCCCACTGGAGATGTTTGTAAAATATCAATTACTTTCAAGTGAACTTTTAAAAGCTGGGTCTTGTGTAACCAGTTGATTTTTTTTTTTTTTTTTTTGGTGTGTGTGAAGAAAATTGGAGAAGAGCAGGCACCATTGAGAGGCCCTGACCCACTGTCTTTAATTCTTTGGTCACCTGAACATGGGGGAGAAGACGCTGTCAGTCCCACCTCCTCACTATTGTGGTTTCAGGGCCCTGGTTTCTCACAGCATGAACATGAGGGTGGAGACACTCAGAGCTTGATGCATGACACAGGAGATCAAAGCTAGGGGTACAGGGAGCCCTGCCTCGGGGCAGGCACTGGATGTACAGCCAGCACAATGTGGAAATCACATGCTGGGAAGAGCAGGTGCTTTGGGGTCCCTGGCGCCAGAGTTTAACTCCTACCTCTGCTTCTTGGATGATTTAGGGCCCGAGGCTGGGGGAGCGGGAGGGAGGAGGAAGGGAATACGCCTAGTCGTGCTCCACATCACCCTCTTATTCTCTCCCTCACCTACTGCTCCCCAGAGGGGGGGAAGAGGAATGAGGGATGTTCCCGCCTAAGCTTCTCCCTAAAGGATGGAGGGCTGCTGTTCGTTTGTTGTGGCTCATTTCCTGTGCTCGGCACACTTGGTGTGCAATCTCATTTCACCCTCATGCCCCACAGGTCAGGGAGTTGGGGACACCGGGCAACTCAGCAGCTGAGCGAGCTCCTGGCCAGGCCTATGCAAACTGGCACCTAGTGGGCTCTTCACTCTCACCAGCACTGCGCACATGCTGTGTCCTCTGGGCCCCAGAGCTGCTGGGCCACAGCAACCTTATCCGTCAGCAGTTAGCTTTATCACCCATGTGGCTTTCCTTAGAACCACCTTTATCAGAAGGCAAAGAAAATGCTGGTTTGCCTTTTAAAAATGCAACAGGCTAAGGAATGTTGCTCCCAATGCCAGCTCTCCATAATCTCCCTAACACCCTGGCCTCCTGCACAACTGGCCCCAGAAGTTTGGCCCGGATACAGTGTACCCATCCCTTAAGCCCACCTTTCTGGTCTGCAGGTCAGCTCTATGCGGGGCACTAGGTTTGACTCTGTAGCAGTAATAGGCACCCTGCTTCTCAGCAGTTTGGAGTCCAGCAAGGGAATCAGGACAAGATGAAGTACTGTATAATAAATAAAGGAACCACAAATTGCATCAAGGGGAAAAATGCAGTGTAAAATAGAGAACAACCCCTGTGGACCAAGGCTAGGGACAGTCTCTCAGACAAGGTAACATTTGAGCAGAGTCCAGGAGGAGGGCATGCAGCCAGCCCTAGGCCTGGGAACTTGGAACATGTGCTAGGCAGAGGGAACAGGAAGGGCAAAGGCCCTGAGGCAAGAAAGGGCTGGGAAGGTGGGAGGAACACAAGAAGCCAGTGTTTTGGTGGGTACTGGCTGAGATGTCCACTCCTGTGTACCCAGAGAAGGGCCTCAGCTGCAGGGAGGCACCACACAGAGCCGTAAGGAGGCAGAAGCCCACAAAGCTTCTGTGCACGGGCGCCCTCTAGTGAGTGCCTGGTCTGCATGCTCTCCCCTGAGCTCAGAGGCTGCTCTAGGTAGAGGTGGGTAAGGTCTAAGGGGCAGCAGAGTGGGCAGAAGAATAAATGCAGGTTCCAGACTCTGATTCCACAAGCTGGTGTGAATGTGTGCACATGCACGTGTGTGTGTGTATGTACGTATGAATGTTGGGAACAATGGCTCTAGGGAGATGACGTGGGTTTAGTCCATACTTTGAAAATCATTCTTCTAAGGACGAGTAATGCACTATTCACACGTTTGGTTAAGTTCTGTTATTTCTTTGCTGATTTTTTGGTCTAGTTGATCTATCTCTTTGTGACGATGGTGTGTTAAAGTCCCCTGTTGTGATTATGTTGCTGCTTATTTCATTTTTTATGTCTGTTAAAATTTGTCTTATATACTTGGGTGCTCCTGTATTTGGTGCATAGATATTTATGATCATTATCTCTTCCTCTTGAAGTTTTCCCCTCACAAGTATGTAGTGACCTTCTTTATCTCTTTTGATTGTTTTTGATTTGAAGTTCCTGTTGTCTGAAAACAGAATAACTACACCCGCTTTTTTCTGGGTTCCTGTCACATGGAGTATTGTTTTCCATCCTTTGATTTTCAGTCTATGATTTTCCTTTTGAGTTGTGTGTTTTTGTATACAGCATACAGTTGGCTTTTGTTTCTTGATCCACTCTGCTAGTCTGCTTCTTTTGGTTGGTGCATTAAGACCATTTACATTGATGATTATAACTAATATGTATTGGTTTATCTTTGTCATGTTATTTTCCTGCTGTTGAATCCTCCTTTTTCCCTCTGTTTAATTACTTGCTCTGCTCGGTGGTTCCTTTCTGTTGTTGTTCTTGAAGTTGTGGTCTGTTTTATCTCTTTCTAGAATATCTTTTAGTTCTCTTTGTAGGGTTGGTTTGGCGCTCACGAATTTCTGTCATGAAAATATTTTATTTCTCCATTAAATTTTTTTTCTCCATTAAATTTGAAGGATAGTTTTGCAGGGTACATCAATCTGGGTTGGAAGTTGTTTTCTTTCAGTAGCTGAGATACTTCACTCCAATCTCTTCCTGACTTGATGGTTTGTGTTGAGATATCTGCCATGATTCTGATGGGCTTTCCTTTATAGGTGCTCTTTTCTTTTTTCTAACAGCTTTTAATATTCTGATCTTTTATTGAGTTTCTGGGATCTCGATCACAGATCGAGTATGTTTGGGTGTAAGTTTACTTTGGGTATGATTAGCTGGAGTTCTATATGCTTTACTTACTGTATGTCGGATTCCTTTTTTCATGTTTGGAAAATTTTCCACTATTATTTTGGCAAATAGTCTTTTTATGTCATTTGTGTTGATACCTGCTGTTTGTTTGATACCAGTTAATCTGGCATTGTTCTTCTTTGCTTCATCTTGAAGTTGTTGAATTGTTATTTCCCAGTTCCTTGTTTTTAAGAGATTCTTTCTTTCATGTTAGTTACTGGCAATGCTGCCTTCAATGTCTGAAAGTCTATCTTCAGCTTCATTCAGGTGGTTTTGCCAGCTTTCAGTGGAATTTTTAATTTCCTGGATATCTGTTTGAATCTGTTTCATGCATTCTACTTCTTTTCTATATTTCTTTATATTTCTATATTTCTAGTTCTTTTCTATATTTTCTATATTTTTCTATATCACTCAAGGTTTCCATGAGTTGTCTATGCTCTTCTATTTTCTTATCAATGTTTTCTTTGAATATGCTGAACAATTCTTTCATTATTGTTATCATTTTTTTTTACCTGAGAGATTATTTCTGATCTGCTGTCTTCTATGGCCTGATGGAGTTTTTTTTTTTTTTTGCTTCAGTTGCTATCATTTCAGAAATTTCCGGTGTATGACTTCCAGGTTCTTCTGTGTTGATGTCTCCTGGACTTGTTCTGGGTGGCGTGGAGGTGTGAGATTGCATTTTGCTCTTTCATTTTGTCATTTCTGAAAACCCAGAGGTTTCCCAGAGCACAGCCTCATGCTCCCAAATGTGTATAAGTGGCAGAGCAAGTGTCTGAGGATCCCCAGAGCTCAGTGCAGCTCCTGTGCTGGTGTATGGTGGCAAGGTGGATTCCCAGATGCTCCTGAAACTTTCTTGCATTCAGTTGGCTTCCAGGTGTGTGGGGGAGGGGCAGGGCAGGCTCACTGGAGCTCCTGAAGCTATCTGGG